GGCGCTCGCGCGGGTGGCGAATCGAGGATGAGATCCCCGAGCGCAACCTCCAGCGCCGCGGCGCTGGCGTCGCCTGAAAGGGGGGGGGCGGCATCGCCACTCATCTCGCCCTCTCCGTGGCGCCGCGGCGCCCGCGCTCCGTCGAAGACCCCGCGCGCGCAGAGGCGCCGGCCCCCGCGGGGTCCGGCGCCACGCGGCAGAGTCGAAGACGAAGCGGGGTGTCGCGAAGTTGACGGGGCCCCCCTCGATGCCCGCCTGGCCGCTGTCGAAGCTCAGCAGTGGGATCAGCTCGTCGCGCCTATCCTTCTTCTTGTGGGCCATGTCGGTGGCCTTCGCAAAAATACAGATCTCACGCCACGGTTCAGCTGGGTAATGCGTCAGCTCATGCCTCTCATCTCCTCCGCACTCGGCCCTCGAGGTCCAGGTAATCCACTGGCTGTCGTCTCCGGCCCCGCCGTCTCGTGATCGTCGGGAACTGCCCCTGGCCCCTCTGCTGGTGCATCCGCAAGTACATCTGCAGCTCCCCGTGATACGACCTGCGGTGGCTGCCGCTCTCCTGGTGGTAGTACTCGTGGCCCTCCTGCCTATGCTCGCTGGACTGCGTCTCCGTCTGCGTCCTCTTCACTTGGTCGCGCTGATGCGACTGCCACCCCGATCGGCGCCAGTAGCGTCATCTCCTTGCGGACCTCCTCCATGTCATCGTACATGTTGGTCCGGAACTCCAGTGCGTAAATGTTGTTGATCTTCTCATGCTTGACCAGTCCTGCCGCCTCGTGCCTCAGCAGTCCTCCGTTGCCGTCGTACCAAGCCACGCGGCTCTCCATCCTGCTGCATAACTTGCCCACGCTCATGGTGGGCTGCTACACGTCGGTAACCTGGAACTCCGCGACGACGCGCCTGTCGCCGGCTACGTAGAGCGTCACCGTCTTCGAACCGCAGTGCTTCAGCGGCTTGCCGTCTGCGACCGTCAGGTTGGGGTTGCGTCCTGGTTTGAGCTCCACGCTCGGGAAGTCCCTGACGCCGCACACGTGCTCATCCGCGCAGTTGTCCGTCAGCACCCAGAACGAGCGCCACATGCCGTCCCCCATCATGATGTAGACCTTTCTCTTCTGCAACTTTGGCTTCCCGCCCTTCGCAACTGCGAAGATGAAACCACCTTCCCACTCTGACGCGCGCTCGTCTATCGCGGTGATCGCTCGAACTCCTGCCCCCACCTGGCCGGCTGAAGGTCCTGCTGTGGACGGTGCTGGACTTCCTGGTGGTTGTGAGCTGATGTGGCTCCAGCCGTCATACATCGTGATCTCGTTGACTCCTCCTCTCTGTCCTTTCTTGACCTTCTGCCTACCCTTGTCGCAGTTGGGGTTCTCCTGTCGACACCGGCAGTCACTCGCATAGTGCCCCCTCTGGCCACAGGCGCAGCAAAGCCTCACCCCAGGTACCCCTGTCATACTCCAGGCTGGCTGTCGCGTCGCCGCTGTCCTCGCCATGGGACCCGCGCCCTTCCCCCTCTGGTCTCTGCTCCTGTTCTTGCCTTTGTCGTCTCTACCTTTGCCTTTGCCGTCATTGCCCTTGCCTTTGGGATACTGCCGCGTCAGCGCGCCCACCTCCATGGCCCCTGAGGTTCGACTTCCTTTACCGCCTTCTGCTCCAGTCCTCACACACCGTAACCGCCTGCAGGTACTGTATCGTGGCACTGATCAGCTCGTCGTAGCTCCTCTCGCTCTGCATCTGCAGTACCGCCCCGATGTTCTTCGGAGCCTTCTGCACATGGATGCTCTTCTTGACTCCTCGTTGAACACTTCTCCAGACGCCGTCTCGCAGCGTCTGATGTCGCGCTCCCAGTCTGAATGGCACTGCTCGAACCCTGCCAAATCCGAAAGGAAATTCTTCACGTTGAGAATCGCCGTCGTGATGCTCTGCGCCCTCATTGCCGTCGCAGGCTCGTAGCGTTTGATCAAAGCTCGCCACGCCAGCGCACCGTTCTGGTCCTCCATACTCCTGATCCGCATCTGCGCGCTGCTCTTCACTGTCATGACCAGCGCGAAGAACATCTTTTTCGTTGTCGAAACTCCCTCAGCTCCCAACCGATGCAAGGCCTCCGCCATGCTGACGTCTGGATCTCCTCGCTGCTCGGCCGCCTCATGGAGATTCAACGCCTGAGCCGTCTGGCCCCGCCCAGGTACGCCCTCATCACGAAGCTCCACTCCGTCCAGCTTTCCCCCTGGCCGTCGAACGTTGGCGGCTTCAATCCCGAGCCCTGCCACTCGGCACCAGGCTCTGTCATGGTCACGTAGACCCCGTCCTGCACGTCTGTGGTCACGTAGACCTCGTCCTGCTCGCCTGTGGTCACGTAGACCTCGTCCTGCTCGTCGGTGGTCAAGTAGACCCCGTCTTTCAGCTCTGTGGTCACGTGGACTTCGTCCTTCTTCTCTGTGGTCGCGTAGACCTCGTCCTTCTGCTCTGTGGTCACGTAGACCTCGTCCTTCAGCTCTGTGGTCACGTAGACCTCATCTTGCACTCCTGAGGTGGTCACGTAGACCTCGTCTTGCACTCCTGTGGTCACGTAGACCTTGTCTTGCACTCCTGTGGCCACGTAGACCTTGTCCAACTGCTTGGCCACGTAGACCTCGTCCAGCTGCTTGGTCACGTAGACCTTGTCCAGCTGCTTGGTCACGTAGACCTCGTCCACCTGGTTGCCGTGGATCACTCGCCCTGGCTGGCCGACCGCGGCCGCGAGAGCAATGGCCAGCGCCCCTAGCCGCGGGGGAGGGGGGTCCCAACGGGAGCTGGCCATAGCCAGCTCCGCTACCATGATAATTTTTGTGCCAAAGAGGCTGTGGAAAGGGTTGCGTATCAGATGCTCGGTTGAACCTGTTAAAACCCGTTCTACCCACGGTTTCCCTCAACACCCCCTGGCACCCCTGGGCACCCCCAGGCACCCAAGCATCCGGCCGGCGGGCACCCGGGCATCCCCGGGCACCCAGGCACCCGGGCACCCTTGCACCCCCGGGCCCCCGGGCACCCGGGCCGGCCACCGAAATCGGCGACGTATCTCACCTGACTGCATGAATCCGCTAGGACCCCAGAGGCAAGCTCTAATTGGGGAGAAACTCCGAGGTCCGCGCGGATTTCTCGGATCGGCGCTGGGGCCCCCTGGCAGCGCCTCCAGCGCCGCCCCTAGCGTGCTCCGCGCGCCAGGGAGGAGGGTCCAGCGCAGATACGAGAAATCCGCGCGGACCTCCGAGCTTTTATGTTTGTGTCATCCTCCGCTCCCCTAGAGGAGGGAGAGGACGGCGGAGACGAGATGAGCGAGAGGAGCAGCAGCAGCGGCAGCTTCATAGCAGGACAGCGAGAGGAAGCCGCCGCCGCCGCCGCCGTCGTCATCGTAGAAGTCGTCGTTGTCCCCCTTCAGGGCACCGGCCGCAAAGCCTTCGGAATCGGCCACGTGGACGGGCGACACATCCTCGAAAGCGAGCGAGGGAGAGGACGGCGGAGACGAGACGAGCGAGAGGAGCAGGCAGCAGCGGCAGCTTTGTAGCAGGACAGCGAGCGGGAGCGGAGCAGCCTGCATAGCAGACGGCGGGGCACCCCGGGGGGGCCCAGGCGCGCACGCGTCCAGGGACGCCGCCACGGACCAGGAGGGAGAAACGACGGGCAGGCGTGTTCGTCGTCGGAGGAGGGAGAGGAGGAGGAGGAGGAGGAGGAGGAGGAGGAGGAGGAGGAGGAGGAGGAGGAGGAGGAGGGAGGAGGAAGAGGAGGAGGAGGAGGATGACGAGGAGGGAGAAACGACGTGCAGGCTTGGTCGTCCCCTGGTCTCCCCTCGTCCTCTCCCCACATAATCGTCCTTGCCATCATCTCATCAGCATGCTTCTCGTCATCTCCCTCCCAGTCATCTGCCCCCACCTCCTCCTCCTCGTCCTCGTCCTCCTCCTCCTCCTCCATCATCATCATCATCATCATCATCATCATCATCATCATCATCATCATCATCATCATCATCATCATCATCATCATCATCATCATCATCATCATCATCATCATCATCATCATCATCATCATCATCATCATCATCATCATCATCATCATCAGCAGCAGCATCATCATCATCATCATCATCATAGCATCATCATCATCATCATCATCATCATCAGCAGCATCATCATCATCATCATCATCATCATCATCATCATCATCATCATCATCATCATCATCATCATCAGCATCATCATCATCATCATCATCATCATCATCACAGCATCATCATCATCATCATCATCATCATCATCATCATCATCATCATCATCATCATCATCATCATCATCATCATCATCATCAGCATCATCAGCATCATCCTCATCAGCATCAACATCAGCATCATCCTCATCCTCATCATCATCATCATCATCATCATCATCGTCATCATCATCAGCATCGTCATCATCAGCATCATCAGCATCATCAGCATCAACAGCATCGTCACCATCACCATCACCATCACCATCATCATCATCATCAGCAGCAGCAGCATCATCATCCTCATCATCAGCAGCAGTAGCATCATCATCATCAGCATCATCAGCATCATCAGCATCACCATCAGCATCAGCATCATCATCAGATACATCATCATCATCATAAGCAGCATCAGCATGATCATTATCAGCAGCAGCATCAGCATCTGCATCATCATCAGCATCATCAGCATCCTCATCATCAGCATCAGCATCATCAGCATCATCATCCCTCTTCTCTCCCGCCACTTCCTCCTCCTCCTCCTCCTCCTCCTCCCTCCTCCTCATCCCTCTTCTCTCCCGCCACTTCCTCCTCCTCCTCCTCCTGCTTCCTGCCTACTACTCCTCCCTCCTGCCTCCTCGTCCCACCGACGGCGCTGTGGTTCTAGACGAGCCCGTTGGCCTGGTCTATCATGTCCGATCCTCCTCCCGTTCCTCCGCCTCCCCCTTTGAAGTCCACGGGATGGAGGGGAGGAGGCCGCTCCCGTCCTGTAGAGTGTGCCGGAACGGCTCTATGAACTGGCCCCACGC